ACATTGCAGGCAAGTTCACACTTTGATCATACCATTTTCATACCCAGTTTTATTTGCATTAGATCAAACCTCCAACATTGCATGATTAGGATCTAATTAAATTATGGGTTGGGAAGTAGTTGATGAGGTAGGAACCTATTACCTGTTTATTATCAAACCTTGGGAGTTACTATTACGTTATGCTTATAGTGCCATGCTATGCTCGTAGACGTGGATTGGGTTTTCAGAGTATTCATGACAGATGTGAGATTGTTAATTAATGGTTTACTTAAGGTGGCAACTTAAACACACATCTGGGTGGATTGAGGCACCGGGTTATTCCAGGATTGCCTGTCTAGGCACCTGGGTAGATCAGGATTGCCTGTTTTCTTTTGGACCGCCACCCAAGCTCAAAGGGATCATGAGATTATTCATGCTAGAAACTTCCGTGTGCAGCCACAAGCTATTATGGGCTCTAGCATAGTTGATTAAGTCGTGTGAACTCTTACAGTGGTAGACTAGCAGATGTAGGGGTTGTAGGTGGTACGGTCTACCCATCGTACCGTGCAAACGCTTTTGAAAGACTATGTCTCAGTCATCCGTCTTCTCAAACACCATGTAGTGCGAGAAACCAAACGAAGGCGATCAAGTCTTGTGGGGTAAAGTGCGCAAACCTCTGCAGAGTGTATAAACTAATCATGATTAGCCCTGTCCCCGGTTATGGACATCTTGAGTATCTAGTTCTTGGATTATCCTATTGATCTCATCATGTTACTTTAAATGAATATTGTTGGGTTTAACAATGTTACTTAATTGGGATTGAGAATGCTGTCAACCATTCTTAATGTTTAACAACTACCATGATAGTTAAAAAAAATTATTCCTTTGCAGTAGGGAAAAATTGGCTTTTCGCAAAAACCTTATAACCATAGAGCTTTTCTACTAGCCAAATATGCATGTAGTGATAGTCATTGTTCATCATTCTCTATGGTGTGAATTTGCCAGTACATTCAATGTACTGACCCTTTGTGGCTGCAACGTCTCATGTTGCAGGATTTCTTACGACAAGTAAGTGATACGTTAGGGTTACGATTTCTACACTCAACTTTGTCGTTGGTGTTGATGGGAATCCACAACCTTGTTATTTCCGCTATTTTGGATTGAGGTAATAGTATTTACGTTACTTTTTACATGTGATTTACCTTTGTTATAAATCCTCGAGTACTGTGTGTGTCAGCATACCGATCCAGAGATGACACTTAAGCACAGAGACTTGACCGTCTGAGGTCGGGTCGCTACATTTGGAGTTGTGCGGAATAGGTATCTCAGATTTGCTCCTTTCGGATCCAGAATTCCAGCTGCCGGTATTCTCCCTCTTCATGTAAATCTTGTAAAATAAGAGAGAAAAGGCATAAGTATTGTACCACAATATGAAATAACAGACCATAATGCAATAAATATCAACATAAAAGCATGATACAAAATGGACGTATCATTGCGCGGTCCTCTGGTGATGTTTTCACTTGAGAGGTCGCGCTCCCTCGCGGAGGACCAACGAAGAAGGCCGTCGAGAGCCTGTCCACAGTCTCTGCAACCCCCTCGGCTCCTACATCGTTGGTCGCTGCGGCCGCAAGCGCGAAGGACGCCTTAAACACCTGGCTGGATGGACTTGGCGGCCTCGTTAAAGCCAACTGCTAGGTGAGGGTTTTGCGTGACATTTGGTATGGCACCGGTAGTAGCTCTTCCTCTAAATCTTTCCCTAAAAAGTTCCACGTCGCCACTTTCAGAGTGCGTCATGCCGCCATACCCTTCGTGCTACCGCCACCGACAACCACCACGCCCCCGCCATCGACCACCCCACTGCCACTACCAACCATTGTCGCTGTCACCCGCCCGTCGGTCATAGTCGACCATCGCCGATCATCATCTCTCCGCTGTCGTCCGCCCACCGCCGCCGACCAATGCTTTCTATTGTCCGCCGCATCCCACTGCCCGACATTGCCGTCATGCCACCACCAAAGACTACTTCTAGAAAAGTTTACAAGCGGACTCGTTGGAGATACTCACCCGCAAACTTGCGCTCATATATACACGCATACACTCATTCCTATGAACGCACGCACACACACCCTATCCCTATGAGCACCTCCGAAAGACTGATCCGGCATATCACCTTGAGATTTTACGAAGTCATCATAGGCGCCCCGCAGTCGAAGGGAACGTCTCCTCCCACTGAACGCTCATCGTCGAAAATCCTGAAATAAATCCAAAATAAATGCAAGAACCGGGACTTGAACCCTGCTGGGCCGTGAATACCACTGTCCACCTAACCATCCAACCACAAATTGGTTCACAATTCCTTTCTGTTTATAGTGATGCTCTTACAAAGACTTCTTTGGACGACAGCCCAACCTCCCCTCCATCTAGGGGAAGATAGCTCTTCCTCTAAACCTTCTCCTAAAAATGCCATGTCAGAGGGCCATCGTCGGAGTACGCGGCGCTGCCACCATACTCACTGCGCCGCCATCGCCAAACCATCGTTGTCGCGACCCGGCTGCCCACCATCGACAACCACCATTCGCCCGCCTGCTGCTTCGACCACCGCGTCGCCATTGCCGACCATCCCATCGCCCGCCACCGCCGACTATCATTCATCCTTGTCTGCTCCGCGGTTGTGCCACCGGCAAAAAACCATTTTTAGAGTCTGTATGCGGACTTGTCGAAGATTCGCACCCGCAACCCTTCACAAATGTTTTTGTTTGAAATTCTTACATGCAATCCTTCACAAACGTTTGATTTGTCATGGTTAAAAATCTAACGTCTGACAGTTAGCATTGCCGGAATAATATGAACACACCATACAACCATTTAGAAAAAGATTTTAAGGGAGGACTTGTCACGTCCAATATGTGACTCTATCCTAAAAGAACTTGTAGGTCCCACCAAGAATAGAAACGCATATAGAAGACGCTTTTGTAATGTGAATATCATTACATTGTACCATTACATAATAGTTGGAGATACATACAAAAGACATACAATGTCACATGAATACATTAAACTATTATGTAATGGTACGATATAATGATATCCACCTTGCAAAAACGTCTCCGATATGCGCTTTTATCTTTGATGGGACCTACAAGTTCCTTTAGAATAATTACATATTAGACGTGACAAGTTGGTATCAGAGTCAAGTTATTTAGTTATGAAATAAATCATTTTTGCATGTCATCTCTTAATTCCGGACCGGTTCCCTGTTCCCTCTATTTATAGCGATGCTCTTACTTGGACTTCTCTGTGCAGCAGCCCGAGCCGACGCGGTTCCTCCCCCCATCGCCGCCGCCACCCGTCCCCATCTCCGGCCGCCGGAGCCCTTTCC